GAAGTCAATGGAATAAAACTGGGAACCAGGGAGATGACGCTAGAGATTTCCCGACTCCGTTTTTATGACCAAAAATGCCAGGGATAGCAGGATGGAAACAGAACATGAACTCTCAGTCCATGCACTCAGTGACCTTGCTCCTTGGGCCAAGTTGGGGTAGTGAGTCCTGGGCCCTTTATACTACTTTGAGGACATTACCAGAAAAAAAAAAAAGAAAAATTATATCCATACTGTGTGATCTCCCAGGGCAGCCAGGGGAGGCCCCAGCGGCTCTCCCCATCACTGCCTGGGTTCAGGGGACCTCGAGCTGCTCCAGTACAGGGCGGTCCAGGCTCTGGGGCAGACGAAGGAGGAAACAAGGGCCAAGCCAGTTGGTGATTAGTTGCTGTTTATTCAATCTTTCGTCTCTCTCATCTCACACACTTTTCCTTCCTAGCCCCAAGTTCCTGGATCCCAGCTCTCTGGATTTTGACTCTCCACCACTCTTCTCTCCACCCCAACTTGTCTCTCTACACCTTGCCCTCTGGACCCATGCTACACCCAGTTTGTGAGCAAAATCTACGTAAGAAAACTCTTGCTGACTGCCCATCAGGCCAAGGTGCAGATACACCACCTAGGGATATTCAAAGCCCTTCCTGACTGCCTGTGGACAAAATACCTCCTAAGGTGTTTTTCTCCTTTCCTCAGTCCAATAACTCAATCAACGTCTTAATACTAGCTATTTTTGTATGGACACAGTAAGAGATACATTGAGGCTTGTAGGGCAGCTCTCCTGGAAACATCTTGCCACAGACTCAGACTACAGAGCTCAGGCCAGATTAATCACTCCTAACCCTAGCAGGGTCTGAATCTAATTATTAATTTTTGGATCATGACAGCATCGGTCTATGACCAAACTCTTAACTTATAGTTAAGCATTAGGCACTTTGGCCAGGCCAATCTCTATGCCCAGGTAGCACATAGCTCACCTCTTGATCTGGGTCCATCCAGTCCCTCATCGGGACCCTGCCTTTGGGGTTGCTAGGAACTAAGGACATCTGAGGCTTAGGTTGAAAGGGCAGATGTTCAGGAGGAAAATATCATTTAAGTCAATTGACTCTCACTTTACAAAAGTATAGCATTTACTATCTTCCTATGCCCATACAAAAAGGAGATTGCTCTGAATAAACTATGCAAAGGACTTAAAAGGAGAAGAGAAAAACTATTTATAAATCAACAGAGCACAAAAAAGAAGTTACAAATAAACACAGAGGAATGGGAGCACTATGATGGGAGTAACCCAATAAACCTAAGCTCCCTGTGGCAAGGCAGAAAAGACAAACCAATGTTATCCTACACCATACAGTCCCAATAAGTGAGTAAGTTACAAGTTCGAAACAGTACGCACTCCTTGCGCTGGATGTTATGACTAATATATAAGTTATGGTTACTGTTCTGGAGAGCTCATGAAATTTGAATCACAAAATCAAGGCTTGTTCTGACACTGCCTTCCCTTGGTTATGGCTTCATCATCTCTAATCTTTGTTTCTTTAAAACAAAAGATCCTTTGTTTCTTGTGATCCTTTTCTTTAAAATGCAAGTTTGTATCTTTATTTTAAATGGTTATCTCAGAAGTCTTAATACATTTTTCCTGGTTTTTCAACCAGTAAAAATTTCTCTTAATGCGCATGGTTATATGATGTAAATAATATAAATATCTTGAAATACAGATATAATATTATATAAGAAAAAATAATTATAATATAAATATCTAGAAGTATAGGCATAATATTATTTAAGAAAAATAGCATAAAATTTAATGAGTTACTATGTTTAGGATTTACTTCTAGCCCTGTACTCAAGTATCGCTCCTGGCTGGACTCAAGAGGCTGTAAGCAGTATTGGGGATTGAATCCCAATTGATTACATGCAAAACAAGCACATCATTCCCTATACTATTTCCCTTCCACAGTATTAATACAGTTTTAACTTAAAATGTGAAAAATTTATCCCTTAAACTTACATCATTCAATGATCAAGCAAAATTTTCTTTATAAGACCATATAATTCCTAAAGCAAAATGTTAGATAAGAGAAATATATTAAATATTATACTGTTTTACACCATGATTATTTTAAAACTCCTAGTATAGTCCTTATAATATTGTTATTAAAAAGTCTAACGATGACATACACTTTTTTATCCATTTTTAGTTATGTAGATAAATGTATATATGAAAAATAATTTAAAAATAAAATTTCATTATGTGTATATTATGTAGCACTATAGCACTATAGCACTGTCCCCCCATTGTTTATCGATTTGCTTGAGCGGGCACCAGTAATGTCTCCATTGTGAGACTTGTTGTTACTGTATTTGGCATATCGAATACGCCATGGGGAGCTTGCCAGGCTCTGCCGTGCATGCAAGGCACTCTAGGTAGCTTGCTGGGCCCTCTGAGAGGGACGGAGGAATCAAACCCGAACCCGGGTCAGCCGCGTGCAAGGCAAATGCCCTACCTTGATTCAATGCAGTGGTACAGCACTTGCCTTGCATATATATTATGTAAGAAATAAAAATATGTGGCAAATTAAAGTCTTTATACATGGCTATGAGATTGGACTGGGCATAATGTCTTTCTTTTTTTACATAGTTTTTCAATTTTTCCTCAAAACGTAACTAAGTATAACAAGTTGGTGTAAAGAAAGTATATAGCAGTGATACATTATTTCACAAGATTGAGAAATAATTTGAAGAAACTACTTTCTTAGGATCTAGTCTATCATGTGTCTAGTTTCTATTATTCAGTATGAAGATCCCAAAGTTTGTAAGCAGCTCAAAGTTACATTCTGAGACCCGATTTAATTATCTGAGATGAGAGTAGCACAATCAAGTTCACCAACTCCAAAATTCCTATGGTGACAAACATTGAGTCACTCCTGATTTCTGCTCTATGTGCTGGGTGTCATAGATAGAAGCCTAAGAATTTAAACAACGTCCAATCGAAAATCATTGTGAGAACCAATATTCTCATTTCTACAAGGCGACGCATTTGAACATTTTTACTGGTTCCAAGCACAGCATCTACGCATTTTGCGCTAGTGTCTGTTATAAAGATTTTTAAGAATTTCTCTTCACCAGTTTATAGCTACTGTCTCCAAAGCGGATGCTGTGTCTCAGCCTACCTTTATATCATATTGTGAAATCAATATAAATCAGGCAGAACATCATTCTCAGGGAAGGAAAACTATCTGTCACAGCTCCAGATGTGAAGTTTTCTGCTGTTTCTGTCTCCACAGTTTCAATTGAAAATTCTTCCTGCTATCACTTTTCTTTATTCTCTCTCTGTGATTTAATCCTGCTGACCATCAAGGACAGGATGAACTCAAGAGAAGGGAAGGGCAGGTAATTGGAAGAGAAAGAAAAAGAAACTGAAAGCACACCATCTTGTACTTTATTATTCTCTTCCTGGTTTTGGGATGGTACCTGAAACAGCTCCACGTGAAGGACCAGGGGACAAAGAAAATTGCCCGATCACAATAAATTTGTAATGGTTGCGATTCCTCATGACCCTCACAGTCTATCCAGGCCTATAAAAACCAAGAGGAAATAAGTCTTTAGAACAGAAGACATATATGATTTGTTGGCAATGCACTGCTCTTTAACTTTCAGAACACCCCAGTTCATCTACCATCTATGTTTCCCACTGCCTTTTCTGCTGTGTATCTAAATACCTCAATTCAAATATTTATATACATTGAAATTGAACCAGTGTAAGGTCTACACTTAGTACCATTTATTAAAAGACAGATGAGAAAATGATGATAAATAAAATAAAGGGTGAGACTACATTAGAGAGTATTGCAGCGGGGTAGCACAATAGAACAGCAGATAGGGCATTCCATACGGTCCCTGGAACACATCAGGTGTTATCCCTGAGAGGAGAGCCAGGAGTAACCCCTGAGCACCTGGATGAGTGTTACCCCCAAACATACAAACACAAATATGTAAGAAAACAAGTGAGTCTGACATTTTTTACACATCTGGGAAAAACAATGAAAACAAATATTCTCTGAAATGCGATATCAAGAATTGATATTGATAAATTAAACTAAGATAATGAAACAAAGGTGATCAGATTAGGAATAAAAGAGAAAAAGTTAACTGAAGATGAAAGCCACATCATACCTGTAAGGGAGATTCCAGAGTTAAAACTCTACTAATTAGTAACTCTCCCTTTCCTGCCCCCTCCCTAGTCGAGCCTTAGCTGTGAAGCCCTTCCTTATTGGGATGTAAATTCTGAAACCATTTGTTGACTCTTCCCTGCTGGGATGTAAATTCGGAAACCATTTGTTGGCCCTTCCTGATCCCTTACCTCTGTTAGGAACTTTTTCCTTTATGGGCTTCAACCAAATCAAAGGGAGCCAGGTGATAACCAAATGTCCGAGTTACCAGATGCCCACTAGTCACAATGCCTATGTATGTAAATGCTGATCTTTGAATCCATAGGCTAAGGAGTGATGTACTTTCAAATGGATTGGTCAAGAAAGTATATGTTGTTACAAATCTATTGGCTATGAAATGCGCAGGCTTTGGTGTAATGGCCAGCGAAGGCCTATATAAGATCCCCTTTGAAGAAGTTCGGGGTCTTGCCTCACCTATCTGACCTGCGTGTCTGTGTAGGGGGCTTGACCCTAGCTAGCCAGTCTTACAATAAAACTTGCTTGCTGTTGGCAGTCTCTGGAGTCTCTTTGTCATTAAAGGAAGATCACGATCTGCATCCTAACAACACCCAACAAGACAATAACAAGAAAAAGACATGGAAAACTTAAAATCACATTGTATATGTGTATTGGAGAGAGTTAAAAATTATATGAATGGAAAAATAATAGAAATAACAACATTATGATACCACATAATTTGGTATATACTTATACAGACATCACAGAGAAGCGTGGTTTCCCAAGAATAATCTATTAAATAAAAGGCAACAAAACTTTTGTATCCAATGAAGTTTTGCCTCAGTTGCAAAAACTAGCAAGCACAAAATGGAAGGGGTATATTATATAGTTGAGTTTTACTTTGTTTCCCCCACGGGTGCCCTGGATGATGACCCCTTTCACAGTCTTGGGCGCTCCCAGGTCAACCTGCAGCCACTCCTCGCCTGGCTTGGCTTGTGGGATGCCTGGGAACCAGCCCCAGCGGCTGCTGACTAGGCGGGCGACGCTGGGGCTCCAAAGGTATTCGCGAGTAGAAGAGGCGGAGATCTGGGAGTCCGCAATGAGGCCTGAGAGCATGCCCAGCATGTTGCAGCAGTGCGCGTCTGTGACAAGGCAGCCGTAGAGCTCCAGGCGGAGGGCGATGCCCGTGTGCCAGGTCTGGGGGCGGAGCCTGACGAACCTTGTCAGCAGCGGTGAATGCAGCTTGTTTATCACCACTTCCGTGGCATCAGTGTTGGCTTGGAATATCCGGTGGTTTTTGCCATGTCGGTACACCATCCAGTCTTCCCCGTTGGTGCTGACTTCCAGCTTGTAGGATTTGACAAAGTAGCCTTTCTGAGTTTCCCTGGAAATGGCTCCCATTGTTGCAATGGCTGTGAGCAATGTGAGAAAGTGGAGATCCACCTGGAGATACTCTTTGTTGGAGTCCAAGTTGGGGGTCCAGCCATCGTCATCACCATGGAGTTGGCCTTGTTGAGGGGTCCACCTCCCATCCAGGTAGGTGGACGAGGCATGATCTGCTCATTAGCAATCCGGCCAGACTCCATTCCTAGAGGGGCATTGCACTGAAAACTCTCCAGAGGCTCCTGGTGCACCAGGTAGTAGCGTGCAGAGAAGCCCTTGGCCACTGCCATGTCTGTGTGGAAGGTCAGAGAGAGGATCCCGGTGGATGAACGTAGCTCAGAGGGGATCTGGGCTCCACAGTACTTGCCGATCAGGGAGCCGACGTGCGGGATTCCATCCCAGATGTCCAGCCAATCATACTTGCAGTCTCCCTCTCCCATCTGCAAGGGGTTATACTCTAGGTCACAGGTCAAAAACTGCAGAATGATCTCCATCTTGGGTTTGGCTAGAATAGTAAAAGTGCAGTCCAAGTTGTGTGGATACTTTTCAGGAAACCCGGGGGACTCAATGGTCCCATTGGGACTTGTAAAGTTTTTGGAGCAATCTTCAGAGCCTGTCTTGAAGATCTCATAGCGCAGGGAGAAGTCGGCCCCCTGCCGGGCGTAGTCGGATGTGAACTTGATGTAGAGCACAGAGCCCGAGGAGATGATGGTGGCCGGAGCAATGTTCCCACAGTGCTTTCCCAGTAGATCTGCGGACTCACTGTCCCCATTCCGATCTCAATGAAGTCGTATTTGCAGTCATGCTTTTCAATTTCGAAGTGAGGGTTGAAATTGAGGATGATCTTCTGGTTGAGTTCAGGAGCATAGATGATCCACTCGCAGTTCTGATGGGATGGGTAATCCTGGGGGTACCCTGGGGAGGTGATATAGCCAGACACTATGAACACTACATCCACTACCCAGCCGCCGCCACACTCCAGGACACTTTCTGGACCTGCGTGGCAGCTCCGGCCGAGACTCACGCACAACTGAAGACCCACAGAACAAGATAAGCGGAACTCTCTGAGACCTTGGACTCCAGGCTCGGCGGACCCAGGGACACAGATTCTCTGCTTGCTTCCACCAACCACAGGTGACAAAGGGATTCTAATCAGAAGCCCCACCCTACACACCATAAGACACTAAATACCCATCTTCCGGAATTGTCGTACCATATTTGATAGGATTCAAATATGGTAACACCTACGAGGGTGATTAGAGGTCGCTCCAAAAGCCTCTATCCCTCTCGGAAAGACTGGCAAGCTACCGAGAGTATTCTGCCCGCATGGAAGAGCCTGGCAAGCTATCCGTTGTGTATTCGATATGCCAAAACCAGTAACTACAACTGATCTCATATTGGTGAAGGCTTCACCAATATGGCAGCACTGAGAAGGATGAGAAAGGAGAGGCTGATAAAATCTCAAGGCCGAACTAGGCTGCCACAACGAAGGAAGACAAAAATGATCGTCTGTATTTTCAATGCACGTACGCTAGCATCAGATGCATCCATCGAGGACCTGATGGTGCAAGTGTGAATGACCAAGTACGACATCATTGATATGACCAAGACAAGAAGGCACGAATCTCACCATGCCATTTTCGACACTGGAGAAGAATTGTTCCTCGGAACATGCGATAAAAGAGGTGTCGGAGGCATCGGTGTCCTTGTCAACACAAACTTGGCCATGAGCATTGATCTTTGTTGTCTATGCACCAACATTTCATTATGATGAAAGAGAAATCAAGAAGTTCTACATGGAGCTGGAGAAGTTCTATAAAGAAGATCACACCTTCTACAAGATCATTGTGGGCGATTTTAATGCCAAGATAGGACCGAGAAGATCAGCTGAAGAACTTCACATAGGGACCCATGGCCTATAATGGAACGAACAGGGTGAGAGACTGTCTGAGTTCATTATGTCGACCAAGACCATCCATGGTAACTCACAGTTCCAGAAGGCAGAATCTAAATGTTGGACATGGGAGTCTCCCAGTGGGCGATTCCACAACGAAATAGACCACATCATATTCAATCGATGGTTTTGCCTGACCGATGTTGCTGTTGTCCCAAAATTCCGAACAGGATCGGACCATCTGCCTCCTTTGTGCAAAATTCTACTTCACAGAGCGGGGAGAAAGGGCTGCAAAGTTTAAAAAGAGAACTCCCAGAACGACCACCAACTGGGAGCTCTTTGGCACTATTGCGGCAACATGGGAAGATGCCATTGTTGACACCATTTATGAGGAATACGATCAACTGGTTCAGCACCTCCATGAGTGTGCGAAGAACGCCAAGAGAGAGATAGCCACAAAAAAAAACTCCTGTCTTCTAAAACTCTTGAGCTTATTCGCCAGCGTGGTTTGGCGCATGCCTCAGGCAACCGCAAGCTAACGTCCGAGCTCGCAAAGCAGTGCAGAGATGCAATCAAGGAAGATCTCAAAGAGAGAAGAGCAGAAGTGCTGGTAGATGTGGTAGAAGCCAGGAAAAGTATTCGTAATGCCCGCCTGTCCTTTGCCAACTATAAGACCAAGATGACTGCCCTCCGACGTCCTGATGGATCCATCACAACCACCAGAATGGCAATGGCAATGGAGAAGATTATCCATGACTTCTACTGAAATCTCTTCGATAGCCATGTCCACTTGCTGACATACCAAATTCCACAGGATGGATATGTCGTTCCCAACGTTCTCCCTTCTGAAATCCCACACGCCATTTCGTCGGTAAAGAAACAAACAGCACCCGGCCCAGACAAGGTCAGACCTGAACACCTGAAGAACCTGCCGTCAGTACTCATCAATACACTGGCTCTTCACATGCTACCTGTCTGAATGCAAGGTTCCATCCCAATGGAAAACCAGCAGGACCGTACTACTGTTCAAGAAGGGAGACATCCATGACATTGGCAACTATCACCCTATCTGACTATTGTCTGTCATCTACAAGTTGTTCACTGGAGTCATCCTAAATAGGATTGGCAGAATACTAGATGTAGGACAACCATGCGAGCAAGCCGGGTTCCGCAAAGGATTCAGCACCATCGACCATATCCACACGATAGCCAAGCTCATTGAGGTTTCTCGGGAGTTTAAGATGTCGCTCTGTTTAACGTTCATTGATTTAAAGAAGGCCTTTGATTCTGTTGAGACAGAAGCGGTCATTGAAGCCCTAGCCAGTCAGGGCATTCAAGCCCAATACATCAGGATCCTCTGTGAGCTGTGTTGCGGATTCACTACCAGGATCTCACCATTCTACAAAGAAGTAATCATTGATGTCATGAGAGGGGTTCGGCAGGGTGATACCATTTCACCGAAACTCTTCAGTGCCATGCTCGAGAACATCATGCGACGACTGGAGTGAGAAGGAATGGGAGTGAAGATAGATGGTCGGCAACTACACCACCTCTGCTTCGCTGATGACATTGTTTTAATAACACCAAACATCAGCCAAGCGGCACAAATGCTGGCCAACTTTGACCGTGAGTGTGGAAAGGTAGGACTACAGTTGAATCTTACGAAGACAATGTTTATGAGTAACAGCCTCGTTCCTGATGCCCCATTCGCTCTCAACGGAACGACCATCTCTGAATGCAACAGCTATGTGTACCTAGGTTGAGAAGTCAACATGACAAATGACCTGGCACCTGAGCTGCGCAGGAAGAAGAGAGCAGCTTTGAACGCCTTCAAGGACGTCAAAGAAATAGCTAAGAGGACGAAGAACCTCTGGCTCCAGGCACATCTCTTTGATTCCACTGTTCTTCCTGCATTAACATATGCCTCAGAGACCTGGACCCTACCTAAACAGGATGAGAATGCTATTCGGATCTCCCAAAGAGGAATTGAAAGAGCTATGCTTGGAATATCATGTTTCACTCAAATGAGAGAAAGAATCCGGAGTTTCGACCTCCATCAACGATCAAGAATCAGGGACGCTGTCTCATTTGCCAAGGGGTCAAAAATCAGATGGGCTGGTCACGTAATGAGATTTAAAGATGACCACTGGACTAGAGCTGTTACCGACTGGATTCCACAGGATGTCAAAAGACTGCGTGGCCACCCACCTACCAGATGGTCAGACTTCTTCATCAAGATCATGAACGATCAGTTTGAGGCTCTTCATGTTCCCAAAGCGAACAGATGCCATTGGGCTACACTAGCATGCTACAGGGACAAATGGAGACGTTACTGGCGCCCGCTTGAGCAAATCGACGACTAATGGGAAGTTAAGTGATTAAGTGATTAAGTGAGTTTTACTTAAAAAAATTTTAAACCAGTAAATCAGCACAATAAAAAGAAATAAAGAAAAAGGACTCAAACATTATTAGAGATGGTTAAAAAATTAGTAGGGTTAGTAATTCATTGAACTAAATATAACATAATTAATTCATTTAAAATAAAATAAGCGTAAATATGCTTTGAGTATGTGGGTAGAAAATAAAATTTAATTTTATAAATTATTCTTATTTTTAAAGGAACAATATCATATGTCAAACTAAGGAAGAACATTATCAGCAGGAAAAAATTGTAGTGTATGTAATCCCTTGCTTATATTATTATTAAAAGAGCAACATCTTTCAACACTGAAACAGAAAAATCTGAATACTACAAAATTCAATACTTTATTTAAAGCTATATTATGTTTTAAATTAACAGGAAAAATTAAGAAAAAATACAATTTTTTTTGTTTTTTGTCTGTTTTTTTTTAGTTTGCTTTTGGGGGTTAGGGCCACACTCAGGGCTTACTTTTGGCTCTGTATTCAGGGGTCTCTTGGTGGGCTCAGGGTATCATATGAATTATGGGGATCAAACTAGGTCAGCTATGTGTAAGGCAAGTGCACTCCTATATCATTCCAGCCCATGTGTAGATTTTAACAATGTTTTTTATTTCATTTTATCTTTTAGTTTCTGCTTGGGGGGGTCATAGTGCCAAGGGATTAGTTCTGTGAACAAGTATTATTCTTGAACAGTGCTCAAGAGATTATATGTGGTACTGAGATCTAACCAGGACCTGACGTGTACAAGTACATTAACCTCTTTAATATCTTTCAGACCTTTATTTAATCTTTTATTATAAGGGGCCATATCTACTGGTGCTGGGTATGTGGTGAGGATTGGTGATAAACCTGGTAGTACAAAGGGCCAATCTGGTGCCAGGAATTAAGTCTGATGTCACACATGTGAGAAGTCTTCTATTGCTTAGCTATGTTTCCATAGTTCTGAAAGATAATCATTTTTTAGGTTCACATATTATCTTTTATTTTCCTAGTGCAACGAGAATTTACTTTGAGACTGTTCACTCCACACAAACACTGATTATATTTGTATTTCTGCTTTCTCAGTATGTCATAGTTTGCTTTAAATCATTGTACTAATTAAATTCCAGTATAAATGTTATGTATCATTGAACAAATACTAACGTTCTTTTATCTTTCAACACTTCCTTTTGTATTTGATGTTGATAAATCTCATCTGTTTTACCTGCTCTCTAGACTTCTCCTACAACTCTTCTTTCAGAATATCTCTTTGTTTAAAAAAAAAAAACTACAGAAAGTCTCTCAGTTGTGTGTGTCTTGATTTTCATGTTTTGGTAGATTAGTTCTATATTAACTTCAGGATAATATGAGCATGAAAGTTTAATAAGTTTTTAATATCATTCTTAAATGAAAGATCGAATTGAATATGTCATTCTAGGGACTAAAATATTTACCCTTACTTTGAATCACTGCTTCATAAATTTAGGTTTTAATGTTTTGGAAAATTTCATACTTTTTTTATCCTTTATCTTGGGGTAGATTCTGAGATTTTGTAATAGCTAGTCTTTGTTATATGAATTTTGAGTGATATATTTTACTAGGGTCTTTTTTGGTGTAAAGTTTCATTTAAAATTACCAGAATATTTAAGATTTATGTCCTTAT